AATAAAATTTAACTGAAATTAAATTAAACATAAAAATCATTTTATTTCAGCTAGGTGCCAGTGCTACATTTCTCATTTTTATTTAGTTTAACTCAATGTACTAAAAAACAAAACTGAAATAAAAACGTATTTCAAAAAACTACATATGTATAAAGAAAAACTACTAAAATTAAATAAAAATACACAACCAAATTTGCTAAAAGTATAAAATTTAAATTAAAATGTAAAAATAAAAACTAATTCAAAATATTAACAAAAATTCAATAGTACTAAAATAGTATCTCAACTTTTTACATTTTTTTCCCTCACAAAATGTAAACTATCGGCCAGCTGTAATCTGTTAAATGTGACTATAAGACATTATAAACATTAACAACATGATTTTCAGTAAAGCTGCTTTGAAACGTGTATTGTGAAAAGCACTATACAAATAAAACGGACTTAAATATAAAAGTTTTTCATCATATACGTGCTGAGGTAAACATGTTGCTACTGTAGTGTATTTACAGTGTGCTTGTGAAATACTGGAACAGTATCTCCATGACGTCAATGCAGATATAGCACATGCGTCAGAGGCGTCTGATTGGCGGTTGGAGTTTTTGTATGCGCGGATCGGTCCGGCGGACGCTGCGTGGTCATTGGCCGGCTGTACTGTACGCAGGAAACACAGTCAGTATAGTCAGCAGTGCAGCAGCCGAGGGCAGAGTCATTAATTACGTCACACCACCGCACACTTCATTACGCTCAAGGTTAATACTGGCTTATCTGCGGACGAGGCCATACCGTGCTTTCCTCGAGATGCTCAACGCCGTGCCGCCACTGGATCTATTACCGCTTATCGCCACACGACAGACCGGAGACGCGGCTGCTGAAATATGGCTGCTGTCATACAGAGCTAATGCTAACACCTCAAAACGTCCCAAACATGGCCAGCTCATTCACAGGAGTGAGGCAGATGACAGAGATTCGACACATAATTAACCTCCATCACCTCCAGCCGTCTCAGCAGCAGCACAATTACAAACATCACGCCGGACTCTGCAGCGCCTTGCATTAAAACAGAGAGAGTTGTATTCTTTTAAAGCATTTTTAATAATTTCAATAGTCCACCAAATCTGATCATTCTGTCATTATTTACCATAATGTCTTTCTTCTGCTAAATACAAAAGATGTTTTGAGAAATGTCTGTATTTTTTTATATAATGAAAGGAAATGGGGTCCAATGTTGTTTTACTGAAGAAAGAGGTTTGAACAAATGATTAGGTGAGTAAAGGAAGACAGAATGATGATTTGTAACCTTAACTCACGTAAATTGTATTTATATAACACTTTCAAACCCATAAATAACCCCATCATGCAACTGCATAGCAACACACTAGCAACCACCCAGTACAAGATCACTCTATATGCATGAAGTGAGTGTTAGTGGGTATGAATGTGAGTGTTAGTGTGAGTGAGCGTAAGTGTGTCTCAGTGTTAGTGTGAGTAAGTGTGAGTGAGTGTCAGTGGGTATAAGTGTGAGTGTTAGTGTGAGTGAGCGTAAGTGTGTCTCAGTGTTAGTGTGAGTAAGTGTGAGTGAGTGTCAGTGGGTATAAGTGTGAGTGTTAGTGTGAGTGAGCGTAAGTGTGTCTCAGTGTTAGTGTGAGTAAGTGTGAGTGAGTGTCAGTGGGTATAAGTGTGAGTGTTAGTGTGAGTGAGCGTAAGTGTGAATAAGTGAGTGTGAGTGAGCGTAAGTGTGAATAAGTGTGTGTGAGTGTTAGTGTAAGTGTGAGGGATTGTCAGTGGGTGTGATGTGTTAGTGTGAGTGAGTGTTTGTGTCAGTGAGTGTTAGTGTGAGTGTGAGTGAGTGTCAGTGGGTATAAGTGTGAGTGTGAGTGTGAATGAGCAAGTGTGAGCGAGTGTTAGTGTGAGTGTGAATGAGCAAGTGTGAGCGAGTGTTAGCATGAATGAGTGTAAGTGAGCGAGTGTTAGTGTGAGAGTGTTTGTGTGAGTGTGAGAGAGTGTTAGTGTGAGTGTGAGGGAATGTGAGCGAGTGTTAGTATGAGTTTGTGTGAGTGAGTGTTAGCATGAGTGAGTGTAAGTCAGTGAGTGTTAGTGTGATTGTTAGTGTGTGTTAGTGTGAGTGAGCGAGTGTTAGTGTGAGTGTTAGTGTGTGTTCTCCATTCTGTCACCGATGGAGTTTTGGTTCCTCTGGCTTGCTTAGTTGGGGACACTTAATTTCCAGCGATATCGTGGACTTGATTGCACAGATACTATTTAAACTGAACTGAGCTAGATGATAACATCACTGAATTCAATGATGAACTGCATTTAACTAAAAATTGAGTGTTTACTATTGTCCTTTTGCATTATTGACACACTATTTTCCTATTTGATACTGTAAAGCTGCTTTGACACAATCTGTATTGTTAAAAGCGCTATATACTGTAAATAAAGGTGACTTGACTTGACTTGTGTTAGTTTGAGTGAGTGTGAGCGAGTGTGAGTGTGAGTGAGTTTGAATGAGTAAGTGTGAGCAAGTGTGAGTGAGTATTACCGTGAGCGAGCGTGAGTGTGAGCGACTGTGAGTGTGAGCATGAACGAGTGTGAGTGAGTGTTAGCATGAGTGAATGTGAGTGTTAGGGTGAGCGAGTGAGTGAGGGAGTGTTAGCGGCTGTATAGTGGATCAGAGGTGTAAAGGCCTGCGATCACACTCTCCTCAGATGGACTGAGCTCAGAGCGCAGTGGTGACACGTGCATTAAAGAGATGGATGACACTCCGTGTAGTGCTGCTGTGAGGACACTGGCCCATCCAGGAGATGTATTTCCTCTTCCTGTGCTGAAACTCAGACTGTGACGTTTATTAGCTCCTCTCTTTCTCTTAACCTGACCACACGTTCCAGCTCTTCTAATCTGTGGATTCTCGAGCTTCACATTAAACATTGGGAATCTGGTTGTGTTTTGATAGCATTCATCTGTAGAGCTTCAGAGTAAAGGTTTAATATGGACCTTTATCTGAAAATGATGTGCACGTGAATGTGGTCCAATTGCTTAGATCTCATTCTGGTCTCAGCCGTGTTTCAGCTGTGCATGAGTTTATCCTCATATTAAAGAAATCAACCAGAAGACCAATCAGTACCGAAAGACTTTTTCAGCATGAAGCCATAGAAGAAGGTTCTTAAGATCCACATAGTTGTTTTCTGGTTGTTTAGAAAAGCATGTACAATATGTTTTGATGCTTCAAAGAACCATCGAACCAAAACATTCATCTGAAGAACCTATGATGAGAAATCAAAACTTTTTTTAAAGATTCATGTAGCCCTGACTGGAAACTTACAGAAGTTTCACAGCTGAATGTGACCAGAGTTTAAATCCATTTGAATGATCTCATCAAGGTGTTTTGATTGATGACAAGCAGGTGCTTCTGGAACTAAAGTCTACTGCATGCTTAAAGCATTGTGTTCTAGATCATCTGTGATCTAGAACCTCCGGAATTTTGTACTAGTTTTCCATCAGGTCATCTGATGTTACTTAAAGAGCCGCAGCAGCAACTAAATGAGGTCAGAGAGTTTTTATACTGCAGATGCAGGTCAAGATCACAGCGGCCGCTCTTTACTGGAGCTGCATACGTCACATACTGTACAGTAATGTCTAGCAATATAGTCTCTTCTTTTTTTGAGATTTGATCATTTACATAGTAAATAATCACAATTTGTCCTTGTGCATACAGCAGCAGTTACTCTAAAATAATGCAAATAGATACTGTATAAAGGTAAATGTTTTAAAAGGTATTTTTTACAGCAATGCCATAAAACCACAGAACCATTTTTGGTTCCCCAAAGAACCTTTCAGTGATCAGTTCTTAAAAGAACTGTGTGTGTGCGATTGGCTTTTACCTGGTTTAGGCCAATCTGTACGGTTTTCTAAATCTGCACATGTAATTGTAGTGTAGTTTGGGGAAAACCTTCCATCGGGCCTTTTAGCTCGTGCCACTCTTATATTTTGGGTCTGTTTCAGTGTTTTATTCTGCGGTGAGTCACGATGCAGCTGTGTAACACGCTTAAGCAGCAGTGGGATGAGATGAGCAACGCTGTGATTTTATTCAGGCTCGGCTCGTGATAGCACCACTGCCAAACTCCCACTGCTGTTTGACTCTGTCAAAATATACAGTGGTGACCAAAATTATTAGAACACTAGTTCTTTCACCAGCTAAAAAATGGTTTAGTCAGTTATTTCTATCTGTTGCTGTAGTGTGTCAGTAGGAAATATCAGTTTACATTTCCAAACATTCCTTTTGCCATTAATTGTAATAATGCAGTGAGATGTTAGTGCTGCACACAGAGCTCTGATCTGATCATCATCAGTCTGTCTGGAGTCACATGAAGAAACAGAACAAACTGAGACAGACTCAATCCAGAAGAACTGACGCTTCAAGAAACCTCCTGCAAAGCTCCTGAAAAACTCTGCTCAAGTGCACCGAGGACAAAAGCTGCTTTATACACAAAGGATGCTCACACCAAATGTTGATTTCATTTAGTTACTAGAAGTTAACTGATAAAGAAAATCTATTTATGACATTATTTTTGACAGCATCCTCATTTTACAGCATTTTTACACAAGTGCCTAAAACTTTTAACAGTACTGTAGCTTTGCAGGAGGTTTCTTGAAGCGTCTTGGAGACACAGTTCTTCTGGATTGAGTCTGTCTCAGTTTGTTCTGTTTCTTCATGTGACTCCAGACAGACTGATGATGATCAGATCACATCTCTGTGTGCAGCACTAACATCTCACTGCATTATTACAATTAATGGCAAAAGGAATGTTTGGAAATGTAAACTAATGTTTCCTACTGACACACTACAGCAAAAGATAGAAATAACGGACTTAAAACCATTTTATAGGTGGTGAAAGTACTAGTGTTCTAATAATTTTGGCCACCACTGTAGGTGGTGAAACGGTCAGGCCTGGACCTTCGTGTTCGTCTTTGTGCCTCTCACCGACTCTCCTGCCTTCTCTTTGCAGACCATCGTCCGCGGGAGCCGGCCGCCCAAGGACGCCTCCATCAACGGCCTGCTGGAGGAGTTTGACAGCATCTCCGTCACCCGCTCAAACTCTCTGAGGAAAGAGAGTCCGCCTGGAGCCCATCAGGCTGGCGGGAGCAAGCCAGCGTCTGCGTCCACGTCCAACGCTGGCGGACCGGAGGAGAACGGCTTCGGACACTATTACGGCCGCTTCTCGTGCAACCTGGACAGCAGTAAAGACTTCTCGCTAGAGGCGTACCGCGACCGAGGCGCCCATGACAGCGAGTGGGCGGTTGGACGGCACTACCGCTTCTCTCTCAGACAGAACGGCCATCCCATCCGCAGCCCCTTCTATCCCGACGCCATGCCGCAGAAGTCCTCGGACTACGCCAAGATGCCACCCGACTACCACGCCTACCTGGAGAACAAGATGCGGCTGTCCACCGACGAGATGGCCATGGGTGGCCGCAGGGAATACTACCGCGCCTCTCTAGGCGGATCCAGCCAGGACTATCGGGAGCATCCGCTGGGAACGCCGTCGCGTGTCTCCATCCACAGCGGGCAGATGAACTATCCCGATGGAGACTGGGGATACGGTGTGGGACTGAGAGACGACTACGACAAGAGGCCCAAGTCCTCGTACATTCGTCAGACGAGCCCCCAGCCGGCCATCCGGCAGCGCTCGCGCTCGGGGTCGGGCCTGCAGGAGCCCAGCCTGCTGTATGGCATCAGTGCATTTAAAGCTGCACCGCAGGGGCCGTACAGCTCGTACACGTACCCCAGACTGTCCGAGAACACGTCTTCGCTCATCATGGGCAAGGTAAAGATCAAATCGGCCTCCTACTAATGATGGGTTTGGCTTTTATTGTCCTGCAGGGGCATCATGTCAAAATACGCCAGTGCATTAGGGATGCATTCACACTATTGATTTGTGTGATTCTCTGGCACAGTCAATGCAAGATAAATCCAGACTTGCCAAAGTGAACCACTACTGATGATGCGACATTTGCATGTGATGGTCAAATGCAGTTTGTCTGCTCAGAGATCATTGCATGACAGATTTTGGATTAAAAAGCTCCGTGGAGATCCATTGTTTTGCTCAAACAGCTTGTGGCAGTAAAAATGCGCAATAAAAATGAAGTGATAGTTCACCCAAAAATGAAAATTCTGTCATTAATTACTCACCCTCATGTCATTCCAAACCTGTAAGACCTTCGTTCATCTTCAGAACATTTTTGGTGAAATCTGAGAGCTCTCTGACCCTCCATAGACAGCAATGCAACTGAAATGTTCCCAGACACAGAAACGTATCAAGGACATCGGTAAAACAGTCCATGTGACATCAATGGTTCAACCGTAGTTTTACGAAGCTACAAGAATACTTTTTGTGCGCAAAGAAAACAAAAATGATGAGTTTATTCACGTATAAAATCATGTATTCTGCCATTATGGAGAGTACCACGACGCATGCGTTGTTTACGTGCAGCGGTATAATGGCTGAAGACCTGATTTGGTGGAGAAGAACTGTTTAATAAAGTCATCATTTTTATTGTTGAATAAAGTCATTATTTTCTTTGCGCACAAAAAGTATTCTCGTAGCTTGGTAAAATTACGGTTGAACATGGACTGTTTTACCGATGTCCTTACTACGTTTCTGGGCCTGGGAACATTTCAGTTGCATTGCTGTCTATGGAGGGTCAGAAAGCTCTCAGATTTCACCAAAAATGTTCTGAAGATGAACGAAGGTCTTACGGGTTTGGAACGACATGAGGGTGAGTAATTAATGACAGAATTTTCATTTTGAGTGAACTAACACTTTTAATATCATTAAGGAGTGCTGCATTTACATGCATGCATTTGGCAAATTATTTTACATTGCATTTCATGCACTTTCCAAATTAGAAGAGTATTAGGCCACTTCCTCAATAACTCCTCAATATATTGCAACATAAATTTACATCTGCAGAATCTCCACATCATTAAACTCAGTGCAGTAATCTCAGTATGATTTTTTTAAGATCTGATTTCATGCATTTGGCAAATACTTTTACCTTTCATTTCATCTGCTTTGTGCATTGGAAGTGTATTAGGCCACCGAATAACTCCTCAATATATTACGGCATAAATTTACACCCCCTGAACCTGAAAGATGCATTAAAAAAAGGCATGTTGTTTTGTATTTAGTCCTACTATCACCATCATCATGAAGAATTTTTTAAAGCATAATTTTACCCCCCCAAAAAACCTTTGTCCTCTCTGAATAACATTTTATTTTAAAACAGCATGAATTCAGTTCATCCAGTGTGTTTTTAAAGATCTAATCGGATGCATTTGACAGGTGTTTTTACATTGCATTAAGGCTCAGTTCATGCACTTCTCGTTCCTGTACAAATGCCGCATTGTTCCCAATGGAAGCATCCAGCTGTGTTGAGTTAAAGACTGCAGATACACTGTCCGCTCCTCACCCGCAGGCCTTGTAGGGCGTATTATCTCGCAGGTCGCACCACTGCTCTGCAGCACCGGCTCCGTGATGGATCTGGTGTCAGTTCTTAATCTACTCACCCGTGAAAAGAGTGCGGCGGCCAGAGACACAGAATTACTCATGAGAGCGGCGCAGGAATCAATTAACAGAAGCGTAGCATCTCCCCGATAACAGCGGCTCATCGCAGACCTTCATTTACACACGCTTGAGCTCTGAACTGTGATGCGTGCTTGTCAATTCAATTCACAGATATTTCAGGACTACTGTAAGACCGTGCGCATCAGAAGTGTATAAGGCCGCTTCCTCGATAACTCCTCAATATATTGCAACTTAGATTTACATCAGGGTTATTATAGTTTACTAAAACTAAAAAAATAAAAAAAATAAACATATTGTTGTAAGTAAACATTATTGAAAATAAACATTATCTGAAATAAAATAAAATTGTTATTTGAAACAAACATAAGTAAACATTATCGAAAATAACCATCATCTGAAATAAAATTAAAAAACTATTTTTATGTCAGCTAGTTACCTGGCAACATTTCTCAAAAATTCACAAACATACACAACAAAAATACTAAAACTTTAGCGAAAATTAACATGAAAACAGAAAATAAAATATGAGATAGTTAATAATACATACACTGGTTAATAAAAACTATAATAGTATTCCAATGATAGTAAAATAACTTCTCACGAAGAATCAGAAGAAACAATAAATTATTTTTTCCAAAAACACCTTTTATTCTAAAACAGATCCATGGTTTTATTTAAATATATTGTGGCAGCAAAAGTGCATAATAAATATTCAATATTCAATATTAAAAATAAATATTCAACATTAAGGAGTGCTGCATTTACATGGCAGGCAGATGCTTTTACACTGTCCGCATTATAAATGCATTAGGCCACTGAATAACTCCTTGATATACAATAGTAAAATAACTTCTCATGAAGAATCAGAAGAAACAATAAATTATTTTTTCCAAAAACACCTTTTGTTCTAAAACAGATCCATGGTTTTATTTAAATATATTGTGGCAGCAAAAGTGCATAATAAATATTCAATATTAAAAATAAATATTCAACATTAAGGAGTGCTGCATTTACATGGCAGGCAGATGCTTTTACACTGTCCGCATTATAAATGCATTAGGCCACTGAATAACTCCTTGATATACAGCAACATAAATTTATACCCACTGCAGAATCTGCAAGATGCGTTAAAAAACTGAATATTGTTAATATTTTCATCCCCCAAACCTTTGTCTGGTCTGAACAACATTTTATTTTTAAAACAGCATAAATTAAATTTAGGGTAGGGCTGCATGATAAATCAAAATGAAATCGAAATCGCGATTAGACAGAAGCTGCGATTGTCATGCGTATCTTTCAGTGAAGCACGGTTCTGTGAACAGTAGTAAATCTCCATCCGAAGGCCAGAGGGCGCTCTCACGCGGAAACTCCAAATATGCCCCGCAGAAGAAACATCTCAGGTTACGTATGTAACCATGGTTCCCTGAGAAAGGAATGAGACACTGCGTCCTCTAGAGGTCGCTGTGGGGAACGCCTTCAGCGTGACCGGTGTCTGAAGCATATATCTAAACACAACAATAACATTGGTCAGCGACAGCCTGTGATGTCATCACCTGGCGCGACCACAGTACAAAAGTGCACCGGGAGAACACGTCATCCGCTTCTTCGTCTGAAGCTTACGTCCGAAGCATGGCAAGGGAACTAGAGGACGCAGTGTCTCGTTCCCTTCTCAGGGAACCATGGTTACATACGTAACCTGAGATGTTCCCTTCCGAGGGAACTTCGAACTGCGTCCTCTAGAGGTCACTATGGGGAACAGTATACCCACGCTGCCATGCTGAGGGGAGTGCATACCAGAAACCACGGCAAGCATGGGAGTTGCCCCAAGGATGTCTTGACGGCTGTCAGTGACATCCCCTTCGGCCAAAGGCCTGAGCTGCATACCATGAAAGAACTTACCTGTTAAGGGCTGGGCTAGGAAGCCCAAGCCTAGGGCCGAGCTCAAGGCTTGGAATCAGAAGAAAGAGATTCCTTTAAGGGGATACGGCCAGGTGTCTAAAAACCAAACCAGACCCTGACCTGCCACCCAGGGGGGCTACCGCCATTTCTGAATAAACCTGCTCAAAGAACTGACTCGACAGATCTTTGGTAGCAACACCCTGCTCAGAAATGTATCAACAGAGATACATAAGTTGAGTGGAGCCCAAGCAAGAACTGGGGCCTAAACCAACTCAGAGAAAGGGAACGATGCTGACAGCGCATAACCCATACCATACAGGATTTTAGAAAGTGCGCAGAATGCTTAGCGTACACACTTAGCACAATGTGGATTTTAGAAAGTGCACAGAAGCTCAGCATGTGCACTTACCATAGCATGGATTTAGAAACATCGTTGCTGAAGGGGTAACCGAAGCTATATTTAACCAGCCTAGGAGCCCTACGTGACTGTGGCATGCTCACAGAACAGACTCCGAAGCATCTGCTCACAGATGCCCAGAAGGGAGCGGCGCACTTGTAAGAGGCCCTCCATGGTGAGGGGAGCACAGCTAGCTCACTTAACAAGCAACCCGCCAGGGAGGCAGGAGATGGCCCAGCCACCTGGCATGATTGCTATCCGGAGCTCAAAAGAGCGGAGGCCCAACTTCAAAAATAAGTTCTCATGCATCCCCTCAATGTTGGCATAACTAGTATGCTTGAATCTGTGGATGCGAGACGATAATGGATTTTTCCAAGCCTTCTCGATCTCCACACGGAGATCAGGAAGAAATGGAAGGTTCACCTGAGCTGGAGGGCTATGGCTAATAAGAATACGCTCGTCGAGGTGGCCTCGAGGCATCACTTTCTTGGCCCGCTTCCACGGCAAGTCAATCCTCGCCATGGCGCGATCCATAACCTCAAGCAGCTCATCATACGCGGGGCAGGAGGATTGGGAGGACTCAGTCTCGACTTCTTCGTCCTCATCTGACATCTCCTGCTCATCCTGGCTTTGAGCCAGCAGAGCACTAGCTGCTGGATCAGACGATGTAAGAGGAATAGCATTGTCGTCCAGTAGCTCACTCTCGTCCGTGACCAATGAGCACGAAAGGGAAAGACCCTTTTTTTAACTCATCAGCCAGGTCCATCTACGATCCCCACGAGCTTATTTCTTCCGTGCCTCAGCAGCGGAGGGTCCTGAACCATGGGGAGCTGATGGCTGTCCCTCTTTCCTCGAAATGAGAGACAAACGAGAGCGGAGCTTCTTCATAGGAAAAAGTTCACAGTGCACGCAAACTGCCCCCTCGAGGACATCACGCGCGTGCTTTTCGCCCAAAAAAAAGACGCAAAGATCGTGTGTGTCATCAGGTGTCAAATAACGAGGACACGGATCCACACACTTCTTAAACGCCTTACTAGTGCTCGCCATGTTAAAGAAGAATAATCGTGCTTACCGGAAATGCACGCTTCAAACAAAACAGTCCTTAAAGACGAAGAAGAGTACGTGTTCTCCCGGCGCCCTTTTATACTGTGGTCACGCCGGGTGATGACATCACAGGCTGTCGCCGGCCAATGTTATTGTCGTGTTTAGATGTATACTTCAGACACCGGTCACGCTGAAGGTGTTCCCCATAGCAACCTCTAGAGGACACAGTTCGAAGTTCCCTCGGAAAAGAATCAGGCTTGCTCATGGCATGGCATCAGGACTTTCCCCATAGCGACCCCTAGAGGACACAGTTCGAAGTTCCCTTGGAAGGGAACCAGGAAATCCCTATAGCAGCAGCTGAATAAACAGAAGATTTAAATGCTTTCATTGATTCAGCGTGACTAATAAACACACGACTATGGCAATATATGGTTTATCTGAGTTCTTATTATTATAATTTTCATTATAATAAAGTATATCTATAATGCAATGCTAATCGACATAGCCTTTATCACTGCTTAGAATACTATGAAATATGTTGCGTGCCTTATTCTGTGTAAGAAGCCACATCATCTCACAGAAGGATTTATTTCAAACACTCGGCTGACATTATGAAGTGAGTTTAGAGTAAAAACATGTTATTAAATGTGGTGTTTTCACATGCTTTCAGATGGAGCAGCATTTACTTCACAGAGCCGTAGTTCACTGAGAAGCTATGCAAACAGCTGTCATTATCGCAAACGATTTCTTCAGCCGTTTCTCAAACGGAAGGCTGCATCCTCCGGAGGTCGCATTTGCAGGCTGCATACGTCATCAAGCCTGGTTTATTTCAGTTAACCGAGCAGTACATTCGCGTGTCATAAGCATATTACAACAATTTACGACTAAGAATAATGGTCAAATTTATAACTGTTAATATTCTAAAATAAGATCTTCTTTATGACGTATGCAGCCTACAAATGCGACCTCCGGAGGATGCAGCCTTCCGTTTGAGAAACGGCCTTCGATTTCATAATTGTACGATTATATCGTCTGTGATTTTTTTTGTGTAGCTTGTCAGAGAACTACGGCTCTGTGTAGTAAATGCTGCTTCATCTGAAAGCAGGTGATGGAGATTTACTACTAATCACAGAACCGCTTTACTGACGAGATGTGCATGACTATCGCATTCGATTAATCGTGCAGCCCTAATTCAGGGCAACACTTTATTTTGATAGTCCAATTTAGACATTCTACTAACAGTAAGTAACTTTGCAACTACATGTCAACTAGCAGTGA